TGGCGGGGACCCGCGCTCCCGCCGGCCACGCCCCGCAGCCGGATCGCGCCGACACGCCTCGGCTCGGCAGCCCGGGCCTGGGGGGGCGCCGAGGGGTTGTAGCCCTGGGTGGAAGGACCCACAGACTAGGGCTTCTCGGAACGTGCTCCGCGGAGGAAACTGGCTGTACGCCATGCGTTTTGTCCCTCTCCGGCTGCCGTCCGGGTGTGGGGGGGGTGGGTAATGTGTAAGGGTGGGGGTGTTTAAAGGGCCGCCAGCGACGGGGTGGGGCCCGGCACGTGGGGCTGGGTCTGGACGGGACCCGGCAGGTGGCGCCCGGGGGCTGGGCGTGGGGTGCCGGGACAGCCCCGGCGCGTGGGATGGGTGGGGCCGAGAAGGGCGCGGCGCTGTCCAGAGTCTGGTGGGAGCCCGGCAGCCAGTAGGGGCTCGGGGACTGAGCGTTGGGGCAGCCGAGAGGTTGGTGGAGCAACTTTACCTGAGATTGGTCGTTATTAATAAAATGGCTTGTTAGATTAGGGTTAGGCTTGAGCTCCTCTAGTATCCTATCTTGAGGAAGGCTGAATCGCGGGCTCCAGCCGTGGTACTCAGTGCAGTGCAGATCTCTCTTTCCCTGACTGGGTTTGCTCTGGAAGCTTTTCTTTCCACCGCTGTGTGTAATGAGGGTACCCGAAGGGTCCCTCCGTCTCCTAACGCCAGGTCACTCAAATGCCAGGATTTTGGTTGAAGCACGAGCTCAGCTTTTACTCGTTGCCTGCCTTCATCCAAATCTTTTCCTCATTAGAAAACGCTCTTTCAACCAAACACCACATACACATTGGAGAATTAGAGTGGTGAACTCTCCCTGGTTTGAAAAACGCTGCGTTTTGAACGTCTCTGCATCCTGAGACAGACTGTGCATAGTATGTCCGTCTATCTAGCTGGATTAGAACATTTAGTAGCCTTCTTCACATTACCCAGGGCCTGCGAGGTACGAGGGGAACTTGAGAACATGTTTTGAACCAGATAGAATTAAATAGTAACTGCTTAATAATACAAGTCCAATATACCCATGTGTAGTAATCCATCTACCCCACTTAAAGCCTGGAATTTCAGGGACCCATTTTTGACTTTGCTTCTCCAGAGCCCAACACAGTGACTGACACTTAGTGGCTGCCCAACAGTTGTCTGTGAATGAGTGAATGAATGAATGAAAGAAGAACAGCCTGGCTGCAACTGTCCTGTGGAAACTGCCACCACTGATATTGGACATTGTGTACAGCATGACCACTGTCGTGTGTCTGATATTGTGGTCTAATGTACCAAACAGGAAAAATGTTTAGCAGGTGCTCTTATTGGGCATCATCTTACATTTATATTTTCAAGGTATTTTTAGATATTTCTTCCATGATCATTGAGCATTTGCTGGATCTGGTGCCCAAGTGTGAAATACTCTGACTAACAGGCCACAGGGGGCTGCAAGAGTTAGTCTTCAGCTAGGACAGATGTGATGAGTGATTTAAAAATTGGTTGAGATTTAAAAGCACTCTTCATCCTTGTTTTAACTTTTCTGACACCTTGGTTCACTTTATAGTTAACAAGAAAGCAGTTTTTCCCTTTGATGACATGCCTCTCTCATTTTACCATGCAGCCACAGACCTCAATCACTTGCCCTTTCATTCAGCAAACTTTTATTGACTGCCTGGCAGGAGCCAAGCAAGCATAGTGCTAGGTACCAGGGATTCAAGGTTGAACAAGAGCACATGGATCACTGGAGATGATAAACCTGCTAACAGGTTGTTACAGTAAACTGTGACACATGCTTGTAGGGGTGTGTACCCAGTGCCATGGAAGGCCAAACAGGAGAGCCAAGGGGAGATCTGCATGTGTCTCTACTGAAGCAGTGACATTCAGACTGGATCCTAAAGGACTGATAAAGGCTCACCAAGAAGAGAAGCGTGAAAGGGCAGTGTGGGACGAGAGTTTGGCAAATGCAAAATTCATAGAGGTATGAAAGAACTCAGTGTGTTCATGGGGGGAGAGGAGTAGAGACATCTCACAGTCAAGGGGTCTCTCAAAGTTCTATGTGAGGACCAGACCATGGATATCAATCAGAAACACCGTTTAAGAACCAGTTATTGATAGGACCATATCTTGATCTTCACTGGAAGCTGATGAAGGCAAGATTTGCATTTTGAGAAAAATTACTCTATTAATGTGGAGGATAGAGGATGCAGGGTTTCAGGATATTGTGATGACAAATGATTTGGCCTTGAGCTAGGGAAGTGCCATGGGGCCGGAGAGGCCTGGCTGCATTTGAGAGTCATTTAGGAGGTAAAGTTGATTTACATGGTAACTGATTAGCTGTTGGGGGAAGGTCTAAGCCAACTCTCAGTTTTCCAGCTTCAGTGATCAGATACGTGTGGTCAGAAGGAGACAGAAGGGGGAAGCAGGTTGGGGTTGTGGATGAAGTTATGTTAAGTTGAGGTGCTTGGAGGGTATTTTGGGGAGGGAACCAGGGTTTGAGTTCTAGGAAATAGACCAAAAGAAAAGCAGTTATTTGGGAATTTAGTTATCTTTGTTAATTTGAGTTTCTTGTCAAGCTATAGTTTTGTAGATCAATATCTTCTTTGTCTTCTGATGACACATGCTAAGTCTTCATAAACAGTGAAGGGGGATGGTAGCCTTCCCAAATTATAGAAAAATCATGTAAGGGAGTATATATCTTATTTTGCAAACTTAAAATAAGACCTTATTATATCCACTAGAGTGCCAGTAAAATATAACTCATTATTCACAGACTTGACATTCTTGAAGGGCTCATCCATGACCTTGGTAAGTTTCCAAAATCATGAATGTCACCATGGCGCATAATTTCCGCCATAAAATGCAGTAAAGTATAACTGAAAAATGTAAGGAATCCTATATGATTCTATAAATATGGGGCCAAGGAAATTTCTAAAGCTATTTAAATAAATTTTGCCATTAAAATAAACTCCTTACTTCATTACCTTATATCTTTACCTTATTAATTCTGTGTTTCCCTGACCCTACAAAGAAAAAAAAATTAATCACAGTATGAGAATTACTGTGTATGTCAATGAGAAAAGAAGAGCTAAGTTGTACTGGGACACAAGTGCCAGGTGTTGGGTGTGGTCCATCTGCTAGCTAAGTGGCTGGCAAGTACACTGTGGTCTCCCAGCAGCCCATTCAAATTTGTGTCTCAGCAAATTACCTCATGACAGGGACCTTTCAGGTTGTTCACGGGAGGCTGTCATCATTTATGAATATTCAGTCTGCAAATGCCAGTGCACCAGTACATGTCACTCGAATGAAGTCCCCAGAAGTGCAACAGTTTCTCAGTGCTACTCTTCTTCTAAGCTTCTTTCTCTCATAGTGGGTCTCCCCTGCCTCTATAAACACCTTTTGTGCTATTTCACAGTGTTTTCTCACACATGTCATCCTCAGTAGGCTGTTCACTCCTCCAGGGAATATGCCACCGTGCCCCATTGCCCAGCCTAGTGCCTGGTACTTAGGAGCTGCTCAGTATATTTGAATAACTGAAAGCAGTCTTAAAGATCTGTTCAAACATGATTTCCCATATCTTCCCTATAAGCTCTGCCTCATTGTCTACAGCAAGCATGTTTTTAGCCCAGTGCTTTCTGCACTGTGTTTCTTTGTCCTCTCACTTTTTTTCCCAGTGTGCCTCCTTGATGTTCAGTGGTGCCCTTTGTGTTTGAGCATTAGACACAGTCTTGAGGGTTATCAGTTCTAGGTACCAAGAAATGGAAAAACTCCAATGACAAGACCTTGACGACAATCATTTTTTGTGAATAACTTCATTGGAGTTTATTCTCAGGGCACAGCACAAATGCTCCTTTGTACTTCAAGCTTTTGATGTTCTGGGGCATGACAGAGCTCCTCAGTTCCCTGAGTTAGAGCCCTACAGCACACTTTCCAGGATGCTGGCCTCTGTGCCTTCTTTACAATCCACTCCCTCAGCAGCAGATGACTCCACACTCAGTCCTTCCAG